ATGAGAACCCTCAATTTATCTGTTGTTTGACGATTCATTCCCCAAACATCCTCAGAGTGGTTACTATGTGCACAGCATTCTGCTAAATCCTGCTGAAAAAAGGCTTTACAAGTACTTTACACTTTTGAAGCATTTCCCAACCATTCTGTAGGTAGATTGTTTTACTTGATTTCCCTCAGTATTCATGAGAGAAACAGCGCAGCTGTTATTATCCCAATAAAGTGACTTTCCCAGAGTCACAGGGCTAGGAAGTTGCTGAACTAAGACTAGAATTCAGTTCTTCTTATTCTGAGTGCAGTGGTTTTCTGCAAGGGAGAAAGAGGAATACATATATCTAAAATAAAGCTAGGTACTTATCAGAAAACTTACTATAGCCGTGGAAAATGTTGATGTGCAGTTTGTTGAAGGAGCGAATACCAATTAAAGAAACATTCCTCCTGGCTAAGAGTGCGATTATGATGCCCTTTAACAGATAACATTTCTCAAACACATACTGTGTGGCAGACACATTGCTGTGGGCCTTGCTTGTATTATCACATTGAAGCTGTGAGCCATAGAGTAATTTTCCCTAGTTCAAAATTAAATAAGTGATAGAACAGGGGTTCACACAACTGTGTGTCATTCCAAAACCTGGATATACTTTTTAAGTACTCTTTTCCATTGTCTTCCTACATAGTCTTTTCTTATTTCCCTTTCTAATTTGGGGGCTTTTTTTTTTCTTTTGTGAATGAAGATTTGCCATGAGCTAAGATCTGTGCCAATCTTTCTCTACTTTGTACATGGGATGCCTCCACAGCATGGCTGATGAGTGGAGTAGATCTACACCCAGGATCTGAACCCATGAACCTGGGCCGCCAAAGTGGAACACATGGAACTTTAACCACTAGGCCAAGGGGCTGGCCCCCTCCTTTCTAATGTTTTTGAGAGAAAAAAAGATGAGGAGGAGGTATTGTCAGGCACAAAGAAGGAAGGAAGCTAGCCATTCATGCATTCATTAGCTTACCCAGTGATCATCAGCTACACTAGTATCTCGCTCAGCTCTGGGAATGCCCATCGTGGACCTTGGAGGAGAATTCCAAGAATGTCAAGTGCTAGTTCAAAGACATGAGCAAAGTGGTACTGAAGCATAACTAAATAGTGGCAGAACTAAAGAAGCCCAGGGAGTATCCAGAAAGGCTTTACCAAGGACAAGACATTTGAGCTGTGTCTAAAAGTATCTTTCCAAGCAAAGAAAGAAGAAAGAGCATTTGCAACAGAACAACAGGGAGAGTTATGAGAAGTATTCCCACGTATGGGGAAATGTTAGTCTAGTCTTGTAGGAATACCAGATTCAGTTGTAGGAGGGAGTATCATGTTGGAGGAGCCTTCTACTTTGAAATAAGGAGATTGGACTTTATCCCCCAGGCAGCGATAGTCAGCATACACTTTGAACAGCAAAAGTAAATGACCTTCCGTTTTTGGGAAGTCTTAATTGGCAGTCTTATGTTGGATGAGCAAGGCGCTTTACTCAAAGTGAAAACCAATAAAAAACTGGATTTGAGTGGAAGGATGACATTTCCTGTATTATTTGAAATTCGTAAATAAAAGTTACAATAATCTAGCAACTACTCTAATGAGACCATGCAATCAAGAAATGTAAATGACTTGGTCATGTTGTTGCTCTCACAGAGTGAATGTACAGGCTCTTTCTCAGAGAAACTTCATTTATTCATCCATTCAACAAGTGTTTGTTGAGGTCCCACTATGTGGCATGCACTGTGCTGGAGTATTGTGTTAAGCACTGGTTGTGGGGAAGTTCATTTGAAGCAACTGTAACACAATTTGTTTATAAAGCCAAAGAAAGCAGCAAAGACAGGATACAAAGCAAGTGTCAAAGAAAACAAGAAAAGAGAGAGTAACTCCTAAGAGAAAAAAAGTGAAAATGAGGTTTTAGCTTAAGAAAGCAAGCATCTGCTGTGAGTAACCATTTCATTAAAAGTGCACTAAATTGTAAAGGTTCTTTCTCAGGAACTGCATTCTGTGGTGTGTGGTGCTGAGATTAAGTATAATGGGCTCCCACATGAATTCTTTCTTTCATTACTTCTCTTGAAAGATCGGTAAATCTCCTGAAAGGGTAATTTAGGTTTAGTGTTCACAAAGCATTCATTTTACTTTTAATCTTCCCTGTTTAGAATTGTAAAAATATAATGTTGATATAATCCAAAAGAGAAGCAGTGGGCCCAAAGTGAGACAATTTCAACTTCTCAAATAGTCTTGGCATTGATAGCTATGCAATAGGCTGTAGACTTTTTATTCCTGATAGATGGTGATGGAGCTTCAGCTAGTTTATAGAGCATTGCACACCATTAATTGCAGGAACCAAGTAAAAGGCAGCATAGGAAAGATAATCTATACCTCATTTTCCTGAATTCCTTGGACTTTTATGTGATTTTTAGTGAAGTCTCTTCTTAATCTCATTGAGTTTTTCTTTCACTATAATTCGACAGAAAGGACAAAAGTTTTAGGACTGTTGTCCAGGACCAAAAGAAATAAGTTATTTGGGAAGAAAAAGGTCTGGAAAATAAGACAAACAGTTATTTAATTACAGGAATGTGGTTTTACAATATAATTTTTCAAAAATGTGAGCCTGAGAAAGACAATCCCTGTATGACTCCACTCATATGTAGAAATTAAACACACAGACAAAGAGAACAGATTAGTAGCTGCCAGGGGAAAGGGGGGTGGGTAGGGGTGGGCACAAAGAGTGAAGTGGTGCACCTACAACACGACTGACAAACAATAATGTACAACTGAAATTTCACAAAGTTGTAAACTATCGTAATCTCAATAAAAAGTTTTAAAAAATGTGAGCAAGAAAAATGACTTTTAATCATTACTTTTTCTGCTGTTAAACTACCATCAATCAGTTTGTGATACTGAAAAACAAACAAGCAAACAAAAAAACAGCAAAACAAACCAAAAAAAATCAAGTACAGTCTTTCAGAAGTGTTATTTCTGGAAATAATAAAATCCTCTCTGATTTTCTGGGCCTCTCCTTGGCTTTTCCACTAGATATGGGCCCCATTCTGGGACTGGAGTGTGTACCTTGATTCTTGATTAATTTAATTGAGCACCCCATTGGGAGAGCTTCTTATAAATCCAGTGGGAAAAGGAGATTTTCCTGAAATTTTCCACACCTAACATGGACCCATGCTACATAAAGTGATAAATATATTGAAGCTCATTTATACAGGATTAAATTATGTTGATTTGAAACTGAATTATGGCTTATAATGTTTAGAGTTTGTTTTTCTTTCCCCATATTAAATCAAAGGATTTTAAAGCATAAATTTTGTTTTCAGATTTTAAAGCTGTGAGTAACTTAGTCTAGTAGAGATGAGAAAATGACATTTAAGAGTTACAATTTATCCTAAAGAAATTAGCAGTGTAGGATATTCACTGGACCAATAGCACGTTCCTTGAAATAATTGTTATGACATTTTAATGCATTCTCCCATGAAACATTCCCTTGTAAATGACTAAACAAGACCATGTCTTAACAATTATTTCATGAAAGAAAATTTCAATACCTTTAGAAGTTCCCATCATAAGACTAATAGGAAGGAAAAAAACAGAAGAAATGGTCTAAAACATAATAGACAGTTAAGTAATTAATTTAAAGAAATGCATCTTTTGAGGGGTAAAAACTTCCAATGACATCACACCCTTTCTATGAATGCTAAGAAAAGAAAAGAATCCAAAGGATTTCTAGAAACTCCTCTCGCTTTCGTGATTTTCCTATAACTCATTGGATTATTTCAAAATAAAGCATACAACTAAATTCTTAAATAATCATCAGGGTACTACCCTCTAAGGACAAATGCATCATTTTTTTTAAGGTAATTCACCCATTCCATCAAAAAAATTAAAGGTCTCTGATCTGGGATGCTTTTCTATGGCTCCCATTAAACTTTCGTTCATGTGCTCAACTACTGTTGCAAAGAAGTTTTGAGCTCTTTGAAGATGTCATTTCAAGCTGAATACATCTGCTCTCATTCCAGCCAATTGTTTTTGATTACAACATGGAAACTGAAAAGCATGTTAGGGTTTTGCTATGTCACTATCTGAAAAAATACCTCATGAGTTGTTGTAAATACTAGATCCTTACATATTCATGAAAAAGGAAATCTATTTTTCTTGATCGAGTAAACGAAAGACGAGATAAAGTAATGAAGGGTTTGTAGCAGTCATTCTAAAGTGTAGGATCATCACTGATCCCATGAACCAAGACATCCAAAAGATACTCTCCCTGGTACTTATTGATCTCCTAACTACAGTTGTTCTTCAACAATGTTCTAATCATCTTGCTCCCAACAAGACTTGGATGTTTTGAGCTTCCTTTGTGCTTTGTAACTGCATTGATTAACAGAGATTCAGGCTGACCCTACTCCCTGATAGAGGTAGTTATGGGAGGAATAAATCTTTGTTAAGTAAAGACACATGGCTTTGAGACCAGCAATCTTTAACCTAGCACTATCTCATTCTGTTGCCCACAGTGTACTTACAAAAGAAACCATTCAATAAAGCCACACAAGATAATCTTTTGACTGCTGTCTTCTCTTAATTAATTTCTACAAGATGCTATTCCTTTCAATACTATTTGCTTGCCACAAAAATAGGCTTGTTTCCGAATAGCGAGGCAATAATTTTTGCTCACTAATTATTTTTCCCATACTTTTAAAGATATGAATTTGTTTGTGCATATTTAAATATTTCTTAAATATTGTAGCTGCTAAATCATTATATGCGATATTAAATGTTCAAATCCTTTATTAGCAATTGTTGAAAACATAACTTCCATGTGTTCCTTAAAATAGGGCATGTTTGATTTCTGAATTGTTGTCATAGAAATTGTAAGGCCAAAAATGGGCCCTTTGACTGAATATGCAAAGTTCCCCTTAAACCACCTTGAACTAGGCATATTTGCAACATTTTAAACTGGCACTTCATCCCTCTTTCAGCAAGCATCCTCTGCAGATTTAATGATCAGGAACATCCTTCTGATGCATGCTGGGAGATATGGCTGCAGGGTACAGACCACAGCAGACAGTGTGTCAGATGAGGCAGAACTTCTTGTTAGGGGTGAGTATGCTAATAGTGCAGTCTGAAGACATGATCACCATAAATTATCATACAAAGGAATTTAAATGCATGGACTTTGAGCACATCAGTACTGTGCATTTTACTTTCAATTTTACAATATATGTCATTTTTGCTTAACCTTTTGCCTTTGAAAAGATTACATGGAAAACTGCTCCTTAGTAACAGACAAAACCTACAGCTCCAACTTCAGGGTCTAAAACACCTGTAGAAATAAGTGGTCACTAAGTATTTAATCAATGTAATGTCAAACAGAAATTTTGAAGGGTTGAGCCACAAAGACCCTTGGCTAGAGATAAAATTTGTTTGTGTGTGTATGTGTTTTTCAAATGCAAAGATAGTGGAACCCCCAGGCATTATTTTTTCCTTCACTAACTTCTAAATTCTGCTTCCAAAAACAGGAAAACTGCATGCCTAATGTGGTGGCGTTTGCAACTGTTAAGTGATAGGGGTTTTTTAAAAGTCTGAAAATGTCAACACACAGTCTCTCTGTGCAGAAATGACAGTTAAGTTGTTTCCAGCTATGAACCATGCCACCAAATTCTGCAACCCTGTAAAGCTATGCCTTATTTAAATTAAGTAAATGACTGCAGCACCAATTTCTTTTAACACATTATTCCTCAGTATGGGAAATGCAGCTTCTAGCACACGTTTTCTTTCTTTCTTTCTTTCTTTCTTTCTTTCTTTCTTTCTTTCTTTCTTTCTTTCTCTCTCACTCTTTCTCTCTCTCTTTTCTTTCCTTTTCTTCTTCTTTTGTTCTTTTAGCTTTCTATTGAGATACAATATACCTAAAGAAAATTTCACAAATCACAAGTGTACTGGTGTATAGCTCAATGAAAAAAATCTCAAAGTCAACACACCATGAAACTACCATTCAGCACAAGAACTAGAACATTACCAGAATCCCACCTAGTGCCTTTCCCTTTTTGATCTCAAACAATTACATTTTGAGTGGTGTGAGTATTGCATGCTAAGACCCCTTGCACAATCTCTGCAAATAGAAATTTCACAATCCATAGCAAAAACGTATACTTTAGATTAACTTGTGTTTTATTCACTTGGAATATTTTCCAATCATAATTTTTAAGAATTCATGAATATTATAAAAATCTTGAGCAGAAAATATAAGGCACATAGTAAGATTCATCATCTCTTTGTTTTAGTTGTATATATCATCAAAGGTTTACTGGTTTTTGGTAGTGCATCCATCATCAGTCAGAGTAAAATGTTTTGAAGCAAGTGTGTATCTGGGTGAATGGCAGCTTGTTCATTTTTTATATGTTTGTTTCTATTCAGGAGGTTATTTGAACTTTTCTCCAAATTTATATCTAAAATGCATATCTGTATTACCCTATTTTTTAAAAATCAGCTTTGTAAAGTGTTCATCCTCTCATGATATTCCATTTAGCTAAAAATTTTCCTTTATGCCTTTTGAAGTTACAAGGCGCACAGAACTGCAAACCCCACACTGCAGTCAAATTTATAGAAAATTGCTTTCTTCTCTCGCGATGGTCTGTTTTAGATTATGTGTACTTATTGTGTAGCACTTGCCTAGTAATTTAGACTGATGCTCCTAAAATTGAAGCTTTCCAAATGAATAACACAATTTAGAGGCTGATAACAAGAAAGCAGGTACTTTTACAGGGCTGTGAGGGGCAAATTTAAGTGGCAAACTAACTTTCTGCTTTGTAAGTAAAATTAAACTCAACAGGGTTTAGAACGTAATTCATGTTCAGCTTTTTCATGTTCTGCTCTTTTAGCCTTTGGCTTTATGCCTAGGAGGTGATAAAATGCATAAATTTTGGAATTATACTCAATAGCAATTTCAAACAGGTTGCTATTGTCTGAATATTCATCTAAATTCAACTCAAGCTTTCATGAAGTGAGTTTGATCAAGTCGCCAATTTTCTATTACATATTTGCATTACTTTTCTAAAAGTAGTAAAAATAGCTTACTTCTTCTGTCTCGTCGGTGTTAGACAGCTTTAAAAATTGAACTAAGAGTTCTGGTTTTCTTTTCTATTTTTACTGTTATTTTCTTAAGTTGACCGATCCTGGTCATTGAAGGAAGCTGGATGCTTGAATATTGCTATTTTTGATGTCAGCTTGTGAAATCAAACTCAATATAGTTTTATCCTGCCCTTTTTCTTTCTCCCACTCCTCCATTTGTTGGTTTGTAAACCCAGGGCATTCTAATTGTACAGGCCACAGGATCAAAGATGAGCATTCTAGATGGAGTTTTTCTAATGATGGCTACAGTTCCAGCAGCAGAATCCTTCAAGCACATTTATTCAAGTGTGTGTTACATAAAAATGGGAACAGTAAAGACAATTCCACCAGCTATCTTCTTATAGAATACCACCATTGAATTGTCTCAGCGGTTCACTTTGCTCAATGTTAAGCATGAGGAACATTCTTGGGTGGCAAGGAATATGTTTTTATAACCCTGCAAGTCTATTTCCAGTGGAGATTTAGGGGGCTAAAAATCTATATTCTCCTAGATTGATGTAAGCTACTTTTTTATCATCTCCTTTCCCTTTAGAGATAGTTTATGAAATTCTTTTGTGCATCTCACCAAATCCTGCAATTCTACACCTGTTCACACAAGCACACTAAATTGGAGCTCACCATTGCCTGTTTAGAATCTGAATGTTCCTGACAAGAAATGCTCCCTGTGTCTCTTCCCATTCACTACTTTAAAACTATCTCTTCCCCTAAATGCTTGTTTCTACTGTTAGTTTATTTTGCTTGTGAATGTCAGTGCTATTATTCACCACCTGTACTCCACCATTATTATCATCCTCTAAAAATTGAATTTTCCCATAAATAATCATCTGAAGCATAAAATCACTTGCTGTCACATACTTAATATTGAGTGAACCAGCATTACAACAGCACCATGCATAATTTGGAGAAGCATAGTAGAAGTAATGAATATGTTAAAAGAAATTATTTTGCTGGAGTATAAAAGGAAATTAAAGCCACACCTGGACATCTGTGCACAATTTAAGTCACTTATTCAAGTGTGATACAGCAACAGTAAGGAAAGTAAGACTAGACAATGCCATAGGGAAACTCTTCAGAGACGGATAAAACTGTATTATTTTATCCAGGGTAAAGGAGATAGACCTTTAAGAGATAACCTCACCGAGGGGGATATATAGTTTGTAAAGAACTGATACTCCCAAGCAACAGGAGAAGTGATCGAACACAATATAAAAACTCCAGAGAAAGGAGTGTAAGTTTTTTGTTATTTTATTTTATTTTACAAAAATGCATGTTAGAAATATGTTTCCCAAAGCAAATACAACAGTAGGAAACTATAGTGGTTTAAAGAGTAAATGTGCTTAGCTAAGCTAAGGTAACTGGCAACCAGAGCATGAGTTCTGTCTATTCTGCCCAGAGACAGAGGAAAAAATAAAAAATTCACTTCTTCATAAAAGTTTTTTTTATTCATCTTACTGTGCTTCTTAATGCAAAATAGTAGATTAAGGAACTCTTGAGATAGTCAAAGAAAAATCAGTAATCTCTTGGTTCCTTCCGAATGCACAGCCCATATGCCCTCTTTTCCCCAAACTTGGATAGCAATTTTCACTTCTGGAATTACAACTTGTAAGATGAACCTGACCTGTATTAAATTGAATTTGAGAAGAAAGAATCCACCTCCGTATGTAACCTGTTGAAAGATATCTAACTGCTTTTAACCACTCACCCCTCCTCCCACACACCACTTATTCAACCTGGAATCAAACTGTCCATCAATTCAATTCCATTATTCTTTCCAAGAAAGATTTTTTCCTGGAATATTTTACCTTTAATGTCTCCCAATTCACCTAGTCACTTTTCACAGCAATACTAAAACTATTAAAATGTTGAATTTTTTGTTAATTAAAGACATCAACAGAGCCAGGAGTGACAAAAAGCAAAGCCAAATTTGCCAATATGCTGGTATTTGGGGATCAAAGGACAATGACAAATGTTTTCAGTGTAATTTTAGTCTTAATTAATATTAATAGTAAGTAAATTTGCAAATAATTTGTTTTAGAGCAGAACAGAAGTTATTCAGTTAATATATTTGTTTTTACAGTGTTAAAAAATCTTTAAAATAGAGATATAAAATGTCCTCCTCTTGAAGAAAATCTAACCTCATTCATGCAATGTCTCACTCAAATCCTCTGCATCATTGTGGAAATTTTAGATCACTAATATCACTAATATTAGGTAAGATTATTTAAATAACATACCAATCACTTGGTTTCCTAGCTTAGACTTTTTCTGCATTAACTAGTTTGATTGACATCTATAAAATCTCTTTTAGATACTGAATAGCAGTTTAGTTTCTTTTCTTTTCTCTTATACTTTTCATATGGTTGCTTGATAACCTATGAAACTCCTTAACAACTGACTAAAAAGTAACAGTTTTTTGTCAATCATGTGTGGATTCTCTGCATAACATTTAGTTTGGATCATTGAAGTGATAGTTAACTGAAGTGACCTGATTGCTTAAAATAATTGAAACAATATGTGCATGTGTGTGTGCGTGTGTGTATCTGCAAATGAAAAACAAACAAATGAATTGTCATTGTATACAGTCAACCAATGGAGGGAAACTAAATTTCTTGTATTTTATTCACTCAATGAATATTGAGTGTCTACTAAAAGCCATGTTTTCTTTTAGGCACTGAGTTTTAGTCAACTAGACTTTCTCAGGTTTCTTGATGGGAGCATTTTGAAACAAGTACTTTGACTTAACGCCTCCATTTTGAGAAAAATTCTAATCAACTGGATTTTATGTTATATATATTTTTGAGTCACAAATTTTAAGATGATTACATTTCATTATATATTTTATCCCACCGATTTACCTTATTTTTCTTACATATCCATCCTGATGTAAAAATGACATTTACTATCACTTCATATTTATGTAAACTTGTTGAGATTAGTTGTTCGTGTGTGGAGTTACATTTTAAATGCTGATT